AATGAAACTTTGGATTTGGATCAGACTGCCCAGAACCAAAGACAGTCTTTTTAAACCACATTTTAAATACCTACCAGTAAAAAATAAATCCCCAGAGACCAAGATACCCATAACCATTTGAGTCATATGCCCAGTCCTTGTAGTCAATACCAAGTGTGAGTCCTTACAGAAAACTTGTCTCATAACACCATCTGCCACAGGGATCCCTCAGATGTGTAATAGCAAGGTACCTTTATTCTCATAACTCCTAGTAAAACAAACATTTTTATTCCTCCAAAGCTATATCATCAATCTAACTCAAGTACATTTTTCAACGAATAGGGTCAACAATAGCAATAATCATCCATTTTTCTAACGCAGAGTTCACTGTAAATTGATATTCAAATATTTTTTATTAGTTTATCTTCATGAAGCCTATAAGATAACATAACATTTAAAATTTATGTAGTAGCACACTTAAAAACATCCTCTTGGTATTAAACTGTAAAGCCAACTATTTTAATATTATTAGTTGGCAGCATTTTGGGAACTTTAGCCTTTCTCAAGCCATCATCTTAAATTATGAATGCTCCCTATTCCCTCTACTCCTTCATTTCCCCTACTGTAACTGACTTTGAGGAGTTGTATGAGTTGTGCTTTAACTTCTCCCTCCATGGCATTGTAGCCTGTCTTGGTTTATTCTTTTTTTTTTTTTTTTAAGGCTTCTCTGGCCAAGTTGCCTAGTTTACCTTTCCTTTCAGTCACTGACAGTGTGATAGTAAGTTGATTATGAGCTATCAGGAGGTCAGGAGGAGTGTAGACAGGGTTTCAGAAACAGAATGCATGTTTACAGGACAGCAAGGGCTATTGTGATAGTGTGACTATTGCAGTAGCTTCCACAGTTGCTATTTTAGAGTAGCAGTTGCCCTTCATGCTTGAGAATTCAAGAACCACCTGCTGTGTATAATTTGTAGGCATACTCTTAACATTTTTACAACTACACCTAGATGTGAAGGGGGAGAAAGCTGTGGAATCGATTCTTGCAAACATTTTAAAAGGATTGTAGCTAAATGTTAATAATAGTCTGGCTAAATATAATGAAAATCTACCTTTTTTATTTTTATTTATTTGACAGGTAATCTACCCTTTTTTAAGGACTCCTGGTCATAGTGTATGATTTCCTCCCTCCCTCCCTTCCTTCTTTCCTTTCAACAAATAGCCATTTATTTGTACCTGCAAACATCAACCTCTGCCTTTTAAAAAAAATTTTTAGCTGGGGCCCTGTGCTGTGGTGCAGCAGGTTAACGCCCTGGCCTGAAGTGCCAGCATCTCATATGGGCGCTGGTTCTAGTCCTGGCTGCTCCACTTCTGATCCAGCTCTCTGCTGTGGCCTGGGATAGCAGTGGAAGATGGCCTAAGTCCTTGGGCCCCTGCATCCGCGTGGGAAACCCAGAGGAAGCTCCTGGCTCCTGGCTTCTGGCTTCTTATCGGCGCAGTTCCAGCCGTTGCGGCCAATTGGGGAGTGAGCCATCGGATGGAAGCTCGCTCTCTCTCTCGCTCGCGTGCTCTTTCTCTCTCTCTCTCTGCCTCTCCCCTCTGTGAAACTCTGACTCTCAAGTAAAAAATAAATAAATCTAAAAAAAATTTTTTTGGCTGCTTTTTTAGAGAGTGAGCGAGTGTGTATGTCAGCTCATATTCACTGGTTCACACCCCACATTCCCACAATGGCCAGGACTTAGCTGGGTAGAACCTGGTTCAGGAACTACAGTCCATGTTTCCCATGTGGGTGGTTGGAACCCATTTGCTTAATCCATAACTACTGCCCCCCCCCCAGGTGTGTATTAGCAAGGTGACGTCAGGAGTCAAGTACAGGTGTCTTCCCCAGGTACTCCAGTTTGGAGTGCAGGCATCTTAACCACTAGGCCAAATGCCTGCCCTTCGTAATGCCCCTTTAAAACCATTTCAAGGGTGCTTTCAAATATCTAGGAACACCTATTAGTTCACAAGTAAATACACCTTTTGAGATGCTATAGAATGCCAGTGCAGAAGCCATATATGAGATGAGGTTAAAAATTTGTAGTTATTTGTTAGACAGAGTGGCATTTTAGTGGTGAACAGTATTTTGTTATTTATGTTTTTATGTAAAAGGGAAAAGGAACACTTAATTTTAAAATTCTGAACCTATATGGAAATCCATAGGCTAGCAGGTAAATATAATTCCTCTTAGATTTTTTTTAAAATGGGAAATCATATTTATATGAAAAAATTAGATATGCTTTCCCTTTTATTACTCTGATGGTAACATTATGAAATTACTATTCCCAAATTCTTGATTCCAGTTTTAGTAGTTATTTTCCCAATTCCTTCAGTTGTAATCTGCAGAAAATCTCGTCAATGGGACCTGGCGCCGTGGTATAGTAGACTAAGCCTCTGCCTATGTTACCAGCATCCCATATTGGTGCCAGTTCATGTCTCAGCTGCTCTTCTTCCAATCCAGTTCTCTTCTAATGGCCTGGGAAAGCAGGCGAAGATGGCGCTAGTACCTGGGCCCCTGCACCCTCATGGGAGACCCTAAAGAAACTCCTGGTTCCTGGCTTTGGATCAGCTCAGCTCCAGCCATTTGTGGACATGTGGGGAGTGAACCAGCAGATGGAAGACCTTTCTGTCTCTCCCTCTGTCTGTAACTCTGCCTCTCAAATAAATAAATAAAATTGTTTTAAAAAAGAAAAAGAGATATCTCATCAGCATACAGGAGTTTGCTTTGTTTCACTCTGCCCCTGACTTTCAGCTCTGATATTAAGCCATTATTTTAGTTATAGTTAAAATGAGATATGCATGAAGGATTTGCAGTTACACTGCTAACCTCTACACACGCAAATGCCTAATCACATCTAATCATGATTCGTGCCTTATGTCAGACTCTTGCTGTCATTCCAGCACCAGCAGATGGTGGGGCTAGACCCCTGGGGCAGTCTGTCCCAGTGTTCTAATGTTGAGCTTCTGGTACCAGTGTTCATAAAAGAAAGCATTTTAGCATGACAGTTGAAGTCAGTTCCATTTGGCTTTTTGCTTAAAGTGAAAATTTTAGTTAATTGGTCTTAGGTATTAGATTTTCAGATGTTCTTAAAACCTTAATTTTTAGATATGTGTCTTTAACTTAGAATCCTGGATAATCAAGAAGTACCTGGGACAGTGATTTTTAGCTTCTTTGACCAAGGCTCATGATTAGAAATACTTTTTACAAATGGTAATGCTTTCATGTACAGTTACATGTGCATGCACATAATTCAAACCACAATTTCACTAGCAGTGCTTCATCTTATTATTTGCAATTTCTTTTGTATTTTTCATTTTTGTTGTTAAGTGTATTACTCTTTTAAGAAATTGCTGGGGGCTGGTGCTGTGGTATAGCAGGTAAAGCCGTCACCTGTCATGCCTGCATCCCATGTGGGCACCTGTTGAAATACTGGCTGCTCCGCTTCCAGTCCAGCTCTTTGCTAAGGTGTCTGAGAAAGCAGCAGAAGATGGCTCAAGTGCCACAGCCCCTGCCATCCATGTGGGAGTCCTGGATGAAACTCCTGGCTCCTGGCTCAGCCTGGCCCAGCTCTGGACATTGCAGCCATTTGGGGAGTGAACCTGTGAATGGAAGATCTCTTTCTGTCTCTCCCTCTTTATCTAATTCTGACTTTCAAATAAATAAACCTTTAAAAGAATTGGGACCCACAGATTGAAAAATATGTTATTAAATAATCAGTACATTTATAAAGAAATACATTACTTTTTGTGGACTTCCTAAAACTATTCTGTTAAAATGGTTTTCCTGCTCATTTGATCACATCATCATATCAGCTGCCGCATACTTAAGACATTTTGGGGCTTCTTTATTGCATTTATTCCTTGGTATTTGTAGTTATGACTTCTAGTCTAAGACACTAACATTGATAAGTATGATTTAGCTTTTTTTTTTTTTTTTTTTTTTTGACAGGCAGAGTGGACAGAGAGAGAGACAGAGAGAAAGGTCTTCCTTTTTGCCATTGGTTCACCCTCCAATGGCCGGCGCACTGCGGCCGGCGCACCATGCTGATCCGATGGCAGGAGCCAGGTACTTATCCTGGTCTCCCATGGGGTGCAGGGCCCAAGTACTTGGGCCATCCTCCACTGCACTCCCTGGCCACAGCAGAGAGCTGGCCTGGAAGAGGGGCAACCGGGACAGAATCCGGCACCCCAACCGATGTGCCAGCGCCGCAAGGTGGAGGATTAGCCTAGTGAGCTGCAGCGCCGGCCTGATTTAGCTTTGCTTGTTTAGCAGAAGTGATAGAAATTTGGGCAATGATTTTTCTAACTAAAGTTGATTGAGAATTCTGTCATCACTTCCCTGCATTGTTCACATGTATTAATTTTACTTCCTTGAACTTTTCTTTACTTACATCATTACTCCAAGTACTGCTGTTATCTATTATTTTAATAGGTTGTTCTTTCAATAACAGACATGAAGACCCTTTGTTTTATATGCTCTTCATTTATATTTTAACAAAAAGAAAGCAGAGACCTTTTATTTCTGAATCTCCAAGTGGAGTTCTGATTGCCACTAACTTCTGCTGTTTAGTGTTGCTGTAGTATTATAAAGAACCATATAGTTTACATAAAATGTGGTACTATGCTGTTATAACTATGAATTCAAAAGAAATAGAGAAAAAAGCATTCCTGCTCTGAAAAGTGAGGGTTGCAACTTACATGGAAAGGTATCATTGGTTTGCTAATGATATATTTAATAAGAATCTCTTTGTAGTTTGGCCATAGATAGACAGAATACAATATTGTGAAGTGTTTTTGTGCAGATTAAAACTCAAAAGCAGATTGGGAACAGAAGGTAATTTTATTTAAGCATACATTTGAGTGTATCTTAAAACTATAATACCTATTATGAACTGGGAAAATTGTAGAAGAATTTGCAATAGATAAAGTTGTCAGCATTAGCCTTAAAGATTTTCATTGAAACTCTTTGTATCTTTCTCTTTCAGATATGGAAACGAGTGAAAAAATACAAGGAAGTGGAATACTTCAATTGTTTGCAAATCTGTTGACTCCACAGTCTTCCTGCACAGCCAAAGTAGCTAACATCATAGCAGAAGTAGCCAAAAATGGTGAGGTTTTCCTCAAGAACTTTTCTGCTGGGAACATCTTCAGTTTTACACCTTACTTGTCAGTATGTTTTATTAATTTATGTTTTGCTTTGGTAGATTAGATGTTTTTTATTTTTGTTTCTCTTTTCTTTGGCTATTTTCAGGTAATTGTTTTAAATGACTATTGCTATAGTCATTTTACTCATACATTTGTCATTTGCTATTTCATTCTTCTAGAATAGAATAAAGAGAAAGAACTACTAGTCCCAGCTATATTTGTAGTATTTTTCACTTGGATTATAAGATTCTTGAGCTTGCCACTGAGTCATTTATCTTCATTGCCACAGGAGATCTTATATTTTCTAATATATATGTTGGTTTTACTGAGGTAAACTCACATATTTGTTTTTTGTTTTTATTTTTTCTATCCTTCTGACATTATACTTGATTAATGCAGTTGGAATATGTGTTCTGTTTTTGACACTTTCATGGAAAGCATATGTTTCTTAAATTTTTGTATTTAAGAATACTTAATGATTTCTACTTTCTTTGATCTAATGGTTTCTACTTTATTTTTGTTTTGGCCTCCCTGTTGTAGAATTCCCCCCACTCCTCACCTCAAGAACTTTTCACTTCTCTGCAGAATCTAATTTTCTTTTTTTTTTTTTTTTTTTAAGTTCATTACCATTGCTCTATTTATCGGATTTTTCAGATTAGACATCTGTTAGACTATTGGCCAGCCTGTTATACACACTGGACTGGACTCAGAATCCAGCCAGCCGTGACCAAGTAACAGGCTTATATGGTGTGAATTTAGCAGGTATATGTAGCAGGAACTCTTTTGAATAAGAATGACTGCCGCAGCCATTCTGATGCTTTTCCAGTATAATACACGTGTTATTTTAAACATTTAAACACACACATACACAGAGAACAATATCATGTCTTTAAGATTAGATAAGTTGGGCTGCCACTCTTTTTCTTAAAAAATGAATTTTCTAAAAAGGAAAGGGTTTGTTAGGAGTTTACTTTCTCCAGAGACTGGCAGTGTTTCCTTTTACATTTTCTGAGAGCTGAGCACTAGTCTATAACTGCCTTATCCTTATACGTTTTTGAGTAAAAAAGTGGTTCAGAAAAGTTTCATCTGATTGCAAAATTTTCCTATAATTATTTATTTTCCATTATTTTCAAGAATACCTGAAGCTTTGATTGTAGAGTCAAAGTTTTGACAGTGGTATCATGTGGACAGTGAGAATGTAAGAACAGAGTAAAATAATAGCAAATTGATGTTGCCATTGCTTGAAGAATGCCAACAACACAAAACAACAAGTTCTATTTGTGAAGTATATCTTTTATTTTCAGAATTTATGAGAATTCCATGTGTGGATGCCGGATTGATTTCACCACTGGTACAGCTGCTAAATAGCAAAGACCAGGAAGTGCTGCTTCAGACGGGCAGAGCTCTAGGAAACATATGTTATGACAGCCGTAAGTGTTGTACATCAGCAATACACTTCTCCATTTTACAGAATTATGATTTTCAGATTAATTTCACTTTGTAGTTATGACCAGCTTTTCTAGTCTAAGACACTAACATTGATAAGTATGATTTAGCTTTGCTTATTTAGCAGAAGTGATAGAAATTTGGGCAATGGTATTTCTAACTAAAGTTAATTGAGAATTCTCTCTATTATCACAAGTCTTATTTTCAGAGGAAAGGAAGTAGATTTCTAAGAAATTGGGACTTTAAATTTAGCAAACATGTGAATGTATGTCTTTTCAGTTGAGTTTTGTTGAAACACTCATGAATGAGAATGCTTATGGACAGTTTTTTAAAATTTCACATACATTTTTAATTACTTGCAGTTTAGTAAAAACCATTCATAAAAGCCATTATCTTTCCAAAAGCTAGATTGGCCTATTGCATTTGCATTGACTCCATTCCTATGTATCATTATGTCATTGTCATCTTCACCACCTTCTGTGATACACTGTTCTACCAGGCAAAGCAAAAGCAAGATCTCAGCTATGGGTACATTGCAAAAATGTTACAATTGCTACAAATAAAAAAATACAGAGAAATCTTGAGTATATTCAATTTAATTAGGCTTTTCTTAGATTACTGTTTTCTGAACCAGAAACATATTTATCATTCACCTTTAAAACCTTGTAGGAATTTAGTTTTATTTATGTAATTAGGATAACTTTTAATGCTAATTTCCTGTTGAGTTTATATCTCAAGGTGTATTTTCTTATATACACAAAGACATGCCCCTTTTATAATAGACAGTGCTTCCAAAAGTGATTTATGTGCATGAAGCAGATAGAAAATAAGGGCCTAAACATATTATTAATTTATGATATAATAAAGAAGTAGGAAAAAAAATTCTATTGTTGATAACTGGTCTATAACAATAGTGGTAAGGCAAACCTTATTTGTTCTTTATTTTTCTGAAACATGTTATGATAGCTATTAAGTATTGAAATGCCAGTGATACATATGAGGACATGGGTATCTTGATATGATTCTTAATTTACAGTTTCTAACATTCTGTTCTGCCTGTAAATTTACCTGTCTCCTTCAGTTCTTTTTATCCTCAGATACTAGCTTTATTTACTTTTTAACTTTGCATTTTAAAATTTAGGATTTTGATTCTGTGCCACAGCTTATTACATGCTGTCAAGAATAAAGCATTTAATATGTGTTTTATGATTAATATTGGCAACATACATTTAAAAGTTATCTACAGAATGATAGTCAAAGATTGATGGCATATATTTGGAGAATTTTGATTATTATTATTGTTCTTATCCTTCTGTTTAGTTACTAGAATTTAAGGCTACCAAAAATATTCTTTAAACTTTGTTCAGCATAGTTATTCTTGAATTATATATTATTTGCATATAGGGACGATTATCTGCTTTGCGTAGTTTTTTCCTGGAGTTCTTATTAATTTGGCAAAATAGAGAAAACACACGGTGATCCTTTGTCTTGTGTTGCCCTGTTGTTGATGAGCACAGTTGTTTTACCTCCCATGTACTCCAAAGAATTCTGAAGTTGAGATAATAAATGTCTAGTTAATAAGATTATAATTTTGATGAAACTAAAGTCCATGTCCATTTATAGTGTATTAGGTAATATGCAGTATAAAGTTCTGTGGTGATGCTTTATACCATGAAGTAAATTTTTTATTAATTATAAATATTTATAACTGTTCTTCATCATTTACTTAAATTATAGTTAAATGAGTAATTAAGCATAATGAATATTTTTATACACTTAAACCTTAGTTAAGGAAAATGAAGTTTGCAGTTTTAAAAAAATGAATAAATATAAAGTGATTTATTACTGTAAATCATGTTGTGAAAATTTATTCATTGTCCATTCTGTCTTATGCATATTATTTCATAAAATGCTTTCTTATCCTATTATCTGAACTTGAATTTTTTGAACTCCTTAGTGATTTATCCAAAATTCTTATAGAGAAACTACACTGTCTATTTTTAAATTACAAGATGATATAAAAGTTTGTAAGTGTGATGCCATGTGGTTGACTTGTGAATTTACTTGACATTTAGTTCTCCTTTTATTTTGTGATAATTGGGAGTTTCAAAGAACTTAACAATTAGATTTCTCTTTTTAAGTTTTTAATAGCCTCTATTTTAATTAATTCTTAAGCCACCTTCTCTCTCAGGAATATAATGCTTCTTTTTTTATGCTTCTTTTTTCTTTTTTTTTTTTTTCTTAAAGAACAGTAAACTAAACCTGACAGGTTTGTAAATGTAAAGAACCTTGTTCTTCCAAATAAAATATATTTAAAAATTCTCATTTGTGTTTTATCAAGCATACTTGTCAGACTCATCAATTGACCTACAGTAATTAATTAATTAATTAGAGAGGCAGAGACATAGAGCTTCCATCTGCTGGTTCACTCTCAAAATGCATGCAATGGCCAGAGCTAGGGCAAAGCTGAAGCTGGGAGCAGTAAACTCAATTCAGGTCTCCCACATAGGTGGCAAGAACTCAAGTACTTGAACCATCGCCACCACCACCGCCTTCCAGGGTCTCCATTAGCAAGAAAGTGGAGTCAGGAACCAGAGCTGGGTTTCAAACTCAGGCATTGTGATGCAAGTATGTCTCAACTGCGGTCTTTACTGCTAGGCCAAGTGCCTGCTCTGGCTTAACTTTTATTAATGTATTGTAAGTGAATAAAATTTTCAGTATGGATTTATTCAGGATGATGATAGGCTTACAATAGATAGTAAAGCTGGCATATACAGAAAATGCTATAAGGAATTCACTATTGGAAATCTTTATTTCAGGAATTTGTAAATGTTTTAGAGATTTTTGTTTTGATATCTTAGGAAGTAAAGCATTTTCTAACAGCTTATTTGAAAGGAAGGAAGCTCTCTCTGTAAAAAAATAAGATAAAGTTCTTACCATAAAATCCATGGAAATCATTGGGGGAAAAGTAGGTCAGATTTTGGTTTTACCAGCCTTGACAGTTCCCATTTTAGGAACTCTTCCTAATGGAAGAAAATGATCTTATATAATGCTAACATCAAGTAACAGATTGATATATCTACTAAATGGGGTGAAATGAGAATTTGTTGCTGATGAACTTTTTGTATCCCAGTCTCTGTCTTGCATGAAGAGATGAAAGAATCACTGGCTAGGAACATTTTTTCACTAAAATACCCGGTCTTATTTCTTTCATTCTAGAGAGCCTTCATTCACTTCACTTATGGGTTTCTCTTTGGAAGTATCCAGACTTCTATTGTTAGCAACATTTAAAAACTCTTTTGCCCTTTAACTTTGCCAAATAAACCTTTTAATGAGAAGTTTGACTTATTTCAAATCACGGAACAGTGAAAAGTTGTGCTTCAATTTGGAAAGAAATCAGCAAAGCTGTGCTTTTGATAAGATATAGCAGGGAATATGGCTTTAGATAAAAATAAGCAGTAACCAATTTCAAAAATGCCTACCTTTGGCCTATTTCATTACATATCCATCTCAAAGGTGATGTAAATTTTTTCTCTTTGTGTTTGGCTGTCATTGTGGTATTCCCTTCTATCAGTGATTTGCTTTGTTTGTGTAAGTGTGCACATTTTAAATTGCTCGTGTATTTAAATTACCTTAAAGTTTTGAAAGGCTTCATGTTAAACTCCCATCCTATATTTATAATCCCAGCAGATAAATTGGTGATTAGAGAGATTGAGATTTTTGGAAATTACTGCTTGAGGTCAGGAAATAAGTGATATTTGATGTACTGCTTAAAGAATACTAATGGAGGCTAGAGAACAATGATGACAGGAAATTCAATATTTGTGCCTTTTTATTTAGAGAGGAAGAAAAATGATCACATTTTAAAATTAATTATGCCATTTTCTAAAAGTTAAATTACCATTTACTATATAATTGTCCTGCTACTGGAAAGATAAGCACATTTAAGAGAGACAGTAGCAAACTTATGCTGTCTTACTTGATAATAGAAAAAATTGTGGTCTTGGTCACTGTTGAGTAAATATTCAAAAGGAGGTAGTATTACTACTTGCCAAAACCAGTGTTTATGAAGTAAATAAAATATTGCTTGTTTCTTTGGCTTCAACTATAAATGGGAAGGATGTTCAGAAAGGTGTAATGTACCCATTTATATATTTGGAATTCCTATTATGTTATACTCTTAATATGAAGGAAGAAGAAAGAATTTGCAATTCTGACTGCAAATGCTGAAAAAGTTAGCAATAACTCTGCAATATTTTGTAATGTAAATTGGTCAGATAAGTGTGCATTAATATAGTACAGATATGCTTTGAAATTGCCTAGGAAATCAAAGTATATTTGTAGCAGTTTGTATTTTTTTTTAATACTTAGCATTAAAGTAAATAGAATCAGTAAGTTACATAAAAAGATTCCTCAACATTTATGAGTCAATCTTATATTTTATGAATCAGTTTATCAAAGTATTTCATGTACTTAAATATATGTTGCTGCTTTCAGTGATGTAATTATGAATATTATTACATGAAAATACTTCATTGTAAAGATGTCCTAAACATATTGATTGAAGCTGATGCTGTTTTATAACCCTGTCATATACACAGAAAAGTTTATGCCTCTCTGTCTCAAAAGATTTTTACATAGTAAAGAAAATAACATGCATAAAGGAACATTATGAGGGCAGATTAGCAGAGTATACACTTAAAAATGTTGTTTTTGATAAGAATAAAAATAAATGGATGATGAAAGTATTAATTGCAAATGTTTTTTAATGTGTTGCTTAGAATAGAAATAGAATTCACTTAAAGTTAATATAGATGTATAAAGTTCTAATATGTCCCTGTGGAAGGCTGATTCTGCAAATAGATACATTTCCCAGCTCTACTGTTTATTAATTTGTCATTTAACCTGTCTGATTTTAGTTCCCTCATTGGTAAAATAGGCTTATTATATGGATGAAGTAAGATTATATGTAGAATCCAAGAAA